GTGTCGTTGTCACGACCCGAAGAGCCGTACGAGTCTCCCTTGGAAGAGCCGTACGAGTCGCCCTTAGAAGAGCCGTATGTGTCGTTGTCACGGCCTGAAGAGCCGTACGAGTCTCCCTTGGAGGAGCCGTAGGTGTCGTTGTCACGGCCCGAGGAGCCGTAGTCGCCGCCGGAGGAAGACTTACTGCCGTAGTTGCTTGAAGAGCTGTTGCCGTAGCCACCGGACTCGTTGCGGCCTGGTGTTCGTGTTAGTTGAATCAGGAATCAGGATGCAACGGAAGTAAATGAATGAGGTTTCCTACCAGAACCAGACTCGTAGGAGTCGTTCTTGGAGTCCTTGTCCTTGTCACCGCCGAAAATGGCCTTGCCGAGAGACTCCATTGTGAATGTGAATGTGAATGTGTGTATGTGGGGGTTTGTAGATTTTTTTATAATGATCAGAGTGAAAGAGAAAGTTACCCAGGATTATAGTTTTTCTGAGGACAACAAGAAGTATATATATAGTCAAGAAAGAGCAGTCTACGGAAACCTGTTCGTAGAGGGGCACTGCAAAGTACGTACTAGTATGACGACACGAAAATAGCTTGAAGCCATCCATCTTTTTGGCAGCTAAGCAACCACTCAGGGTAAAGGTGCGAAGTACGACGTGGAGAAAAGAGGCGGCCGGTTAGGGTTCAGCTGATGACGTTTACATCGTATGTTTAGCCTGTGAGGAAAGGGCAATGACGAGCGTCACACCTCCTACGTCGTGATTGTTGGGTTCGAACCGGTGTCTTGAACCGAGATCAAAAGATCACTAATCGCGTCAGAGCTAGCAATAGTAGCTGGCTAGTACGTAATGTTTGTTCAGCTCTCAGCTCTTGGGAATGTGGAAGAGAAGCGGGGGAGGATGTGGCGCGAGCTCTATGTGGCGCAGTGACCCCCCATGTCTAGCTGAAAGGACCCTTGCCGTTTTTTCTTTCAAAATAAAGTAAGCAAGTTATAAAACTTACGGGTACATGCAATCCTTCTTATCAGATGCGTCAGAATATATAGAAGGAAGATGATGTATAAATCGAGTGCTACTACATGCCCGTAATGTATCCGTATGTGCATATAATAATCTATTCTGATCCTTGTATATGCATTGAATGTATTTTTGTGGTCGTGCTTACTTTAGCCACTCACAGCCCCTCATCACACCATGTAGGATTTATCTTGTACGATAACCGGTCTTGCCAGTCAGAGGAGGAGAGGGGGCCAGTAACTAGGCAGGCGCGACAACATAATGATAATGCTCATCTGACGTGTAGATGCAGACCGAGACCTTTACATCTCTCCTTCGTTACCTTTCCTGAAGCCGACCATGTCTTTGTGGCCATCGATACAAGGTGAGATGTGATGCCTTATCCAACTGCTAACGGTGCTGGCCATTTCTTCAGCAGTCGGCTTCGCACGGCTGGGCTATATGTGTAAGATACCACTCTCGCCGAGACATTCCATGTACCTCCTCGTGCTCAGGCTCCCTCCTCCTCTTGCTTCTTCCAACAAGAGCGTGAGCCTGGACTATCCCGGCCCGGTCCCCGATTCCCGAGCAGGCCTAGCCGGCGGGCTACAGGGTTTATCACCCTAGACGACTCGTACTCTGCCGGTATCGGTACGGACGTCAACGGCACCGAGGACGACTTTCGACGCGGACTCCACGCACACCTCGTACTTTTAAGCAAAGACCTCGTCTCGCTCGACAGCGGCGGTGATTTACATTTATCACCGCCTCCGTCATTGCAGTTCCAGTTGTGCACGGGCTCGACGGTCGAGGACCTGCTGCTCAACAGCGATGTGTGCCAAATTGGGGCCCTGAACAAGTCGCTTGTAGCCGACTTCGCCCTGCTGTTGGTGGGGAGGAACGATCTCGGGTTCTCCGAGATCATGAATAGCTGTATCTTCCGCTTTTACAGCCCTACTTGGGAGCGTGCGAAGAGGCACTGACCAAGGCGGAAGAAGCTCTGGACAGCCCGGACTTTGACAACTACATCCGCCTGGCCATTACCGAGGCCCTTGATAGCGTGCAATGGGAGAAGCGTCCCTGGTTAACGGTCACTGTGACGGCGCACCCGCGACTGCGACGACAGTTCTTTTGGCATATGGTAGCGGGGGGGGGGCGAAACTTGCAATGGCCTTGCGCTGGAAGATGAACAAAATGGCGCTCGCCATCAACGACAAGATACGTCGCTCTGTCGACGCTCTTAATGCTGAATTCGTGTATGACAAAGTCCATTTCGTCGACTACGATGTCGCCTTTGAGAGCCACCGCTTCTATGAGCCTGGCATTATAGAACCGGATCACAAACGCAAGGAGACTTGGTTCTTCCTTTTCGTGGACCCCGACAATGCCAATGACGATAGTAAATCCAATTTCGACATTGGAGACAGCAAGGTGCATGGATACGATGAGACTGATAAGGATCATTGTTCTACTGCTTGCCATACAATAGAGAACCTATACTCCGCTACCTAACCCATTACCCCAACTCAGTTTTGAACAGACAATTTACATGCAACAAGGCCTCTGATTCTCGGCAAGAGATTATTCATCGTTTAGTGCCCGGGTCTAGTTAAATATACACACTAATACCACTAAACCGGAAATGGGGGGAAGGCTACGTACTAGTACGAGTAGCCCAATGCCCACGCCTGCTCTCTCGTCTTCTCCAGACGGAGCTTCCTTTGCCCACCAGGCTGATGCATTATTCCAGAGTCCGAACAGGGGAAAGGTATAATAGGATTGCGTATGTGCATGTAGAGTAGCAGGGTTTCGATGAAAATTAGTAGTAGTAGTATAGCGGACCCTTTGTCGTTCCTTTTCCCGGCCTGGCTCTTTCATAATCATTATCATCGGGCACACTCTCATACATGGCACGCATTTGATTGCTTGTTTTTCGGATCGCATCGCGTTGTATCTGTCCGGAACAGCGTCGGCATTCAGGTACCACGCCGTTTAATTGTCATAGCTTCAGGGACGCCTTGTCGAGACTAAACAAGAAGACGGTGTATTAATTTGCCGATTGGGAAAAGATATGGTATTCCGACAGAAGAAAATAGAGTAGCACGTTATGATATATTGTGGCAAGACGTCGCAGGGCTGCGAGCAGTGTCGGACTCATCGCATCAAGGTAGGACAGTCCTTATCACACTTCATGTCTTTCTGACAGCAGGCACAGGGTGCCGAGTTCATGGTTAACCGGGACACATTACTTAGTGTGATAGGAAAACGCCCGACTGCTCACAATGCGTCCGGGTCAGCAAAGAGTGTCCTGGTTATCGCGACCAGTTCGCCATCTTGTTCCGCGACGAGAGCAGTAAGGTGATGCAGAGGGCTCATTCCCAGTGGGGCGTCGAGCGAATATCGTCGTCGCCGTCTTCTGGCAAACCTACTAATGATATGCAGGCCTCAAGGAAGTAACCGGCTTCAGTAACGAGCCCCGAGAGTTGCTGTTCTCTACTTCTCTCAGCCCACATCGTGAGATTCGGCTGACCCCCCGGCCCTCACATGAACGCCGCCACTGCCTTCATCAAAACTCCAGCGCTCCTCTATTCCCACCTCGGAATCCGATATCGTTGACCCTGGAGGAATGAGGGTTTCACTTCTACCTGAATAGGTACCTGATCGGGCATCCGGACGAGCCTCGCAACTCAGAGGAGCTGAATACTACGATAGCACTTTAATCCTACGCTGCGAGAGGCCTTGGCGGCGCTGGGACTCGCAGCCCTGTTCAACCTCACGGGGGAGAAGAGCCTCATCATGGCGACCAACACGCAGTATGGGAACACTCTCTGAATGGCTGGGTTGCTTGTGAAATCGACGGTGCATTGGCTACTGCATTGCTTCCCGGCTGGTCGTGATGCTTGCCATGTTTGAGGTGAGTTGTGCATGAGCTGTATTCAACTAGCTATCCGTATACTGACTCTGCGGCCATAATACTTGTCGAAGGACCAGACATGAGTGTGTGGAACGCTCGATCTCATATATCCAGCTGCGCTGCAATGGTGTGTACTTGGTGTCCCGCGCAGAATACCCGCTACCAAGGGATTCGGCGGCTTCTTCAGCTCTGTTATTCAATGATGAGCAGACGGAAACTAACATTCATCGCGTATGGAGTCCCGCATTGACAATCATGTATGCGGTAGTTTGTCACAGCCTACGATGCGGGAATACCGTTATCAGATACATCACACAGCTGCATCAACCTTAGCCAACGCGTCATGGTCTCCGAAGACCAGCTGGTTGTTATACTCGGTATCATCATAGCCCAGCTTATTGAGGCAAATGCGCATCTCCGCTAAAGTGTCTTGTAAGACGTAATGTCCGCGACTAGATCAACGCTAGAGGAGCTCATAGCCATGGACATGGAGCTGATTCCATGGAGGGAGTCGCTGGGCGACACCAGGCGCTTTTGGAGCGAGATGGCGCCCCATCTCTCAGCGGCAGCGGTAGCGGCAATGGAGGGAGAGTACCACGTCTGCCACGACATGTGGGTGGCGTGCGTGTAGGATCACTGTCGATAGACGAGGACCCTGCTGAACCAGGTTATCCTGAACTTGGCTGACAAGTATCCGCGGTCTGCTGCACAGCTACTTGTGTCCCTTGTGACCTCTGAGGAGCGTACTAGGCGTCAGGCTCTCGTGAAGGAGATGGCTAGGGAGGTGCCGGTCAGCACACCAAGCTACTGGCGTCATCCGCTGTTAAAGGAGGAGATATATGAGCTCGTCGAGGAGAGAGGGGGTGCTGGGGCTGGCGCTGCTGGATTGCCGATCTTCCTAAACCAGATCGTCGTCGCCTTCTGAGCTGTCGGGACCCCGCTGGAGTATTAGAACTGGGGTTATAACATTGCCAATTGTGTGTGGGCAGATATTGGTATGAAGTATGCAGTGTATATAACGGATTCAATGCGGGCTTGTCGGAGAACAGTGGGACCGTTAGATACATAGTACTCGTAATAATAATGTGTCGTGTGTGCTCCATGGGCAAATGAAAAAGGAAGCATGAGTGTGTACAAGTGATGATAGGTGTTTCCAAGTGATATTAGTGAGTGAATGCAGCCCGCAATTGGTACAGACAGGTACTTCAAGTGACCCGGATATATATTGTTGCGGTGGTTCAACCCCACGATTGTGGACGCGAATGTCTCCACTTCCAACGACAAACACATTTGCTGTATTGGGATATTTGGACAATCGCGTGTCGCAAGGCGCATGACTTATCGAATCTATCATCCATCATCCATCGTCATCACCATCGCCTCCCTTCGGATGAACCCCACGATATTGAGAGCGCATTTTTCTCCATAGCCACGATCACCTCCACCACCTTGCGAGCATATCGAACGAGTGCAGCGGGCGCCGGGATCCCTGGCCTCTAGGGCGCAACGCACATGCCTGTCATGGCAGGTAAATTACGACGGGCAAAAATACAATGAATCGAGACGAGATATAGGATAAGACGGCTGATGAGAATGCGACCGATTTCCAAACAGGCGGCGAAGATGGGCAGACCATAAAGGTCACACCCAAGAGGGACAAGAAAACGGGTCCTATCAAACTCAAGAAGCAGGCGCCAAAACACAAATGTCCTGGAGATTGGATGGATGGAAGCTTTGATGATGGTAAAACCTTCTGTCTCGTTTTCCCACCTTCTTTGCCCACCCAAGGCGACATGCGTGGAGGTGTGCGAATGTTGGGAAAACTGAATACGTGCTGATATAAACCACGATGATATTATAGAAGGCAAAGTTAAGGAATCGCCATCATCAACGTCGACATCACCAGGCCCCGTGGTCAATCAGCTAGACGAGAGCGCACGCGCAACGTTTGCGACGGGACGACCACTAGAAGACAGCCCGGACCTGCAGCAGTGCAAGCACTGCAAGAAGAGCGTTCTCAAGACGGCGGCCAAGGTACACATTGCGCAGTGCCTCAAACTCAAGAGGGAAAAGGCACAGCGGAAGAAGGAGGCGCGTGAGGCGCGTGAGAGAGCCAAGGAGGCGGCTAGGGAGGAGGAGGCACGCAAGGCTGATGACGGCAAGGAGGAAGACAGTGATGACGATGGCGGCGACATCTCTCCCGACAAGAAGGGTGTTAAGGCAGGCAAGAAGGCTGCTGGCGCAGGCGCCGGCAAGAAGCCCGGTGATGACAAGAGCAAGAAGCGCAAGGCTGATGGGGCGCCCGATGGCGGTCCCAAGGCCAAGAAGAAGAAGGATGAGCCCAAGGCCAAGGCACCCAAAACGAAGGGCATGTTTTTTTTCTCTTTTTCATTGCGCGCCGCCCTGCACGGAAAGTGTATGCTAATACGTGTTTCGAAACTTGCACAGGTCCTGTCGACGTTGAGCGCCAATGTGGTGTCATTCTTCCCAACGGACAACCGTGCGCTCGCTCACTAACGTGCAAGAGCCACTCCATGGGAGCCAAACGAGCAGTCGCCGGCCGTTCCCTACCATATGATATGCTCCTAGCAGCATACCAGAAAAAGAACCAGGCCAAGCAGCAGAGTAAATCTTTTTGACCCTTCCTTTCATTTGTCGCAGTCTTTTGCTAATCAACACATGCACAGAGGCCGCTTTGGATGCCAATGCGCCAGTAGAAGACGAAGACGACGCTAACAACGGTCCCATTGATTCGGACGAAGAGACGTTCGCCGTCATGAGCTCCCTCGCCAAGTGGAAGCCGCAGCCTGTCGTGCCGCAGCCCGTTTTCACCCCCATCAGACGACAGTACCAGATCTCCCGACTGCACGAGCAGCTACAGATGGCCACCAACGGTGGGCGCACAAATATCTTTGCTGTTAAGAGCTTCGGCACAAAGAGGAACATGTCCGATACCAACACTGCACAGCAGCAGCCTCAACAGCAGCAGTCCCAAACCCTTACGGTAGACGGGGAAGATGCCCCCGGTGAGCCGGACATGAGCATGGGTCTCGGCGTCACGAGCAGTATACCCTCGGGCTTGGGGACGGCACATAGGCAGACACCTGTCGCTAGTCGTGGTTGACGGACATTGTCCTCTCTCTTTCCCTACTCCAATTGCTTCTTGTTTTAGTACCATTGCACAACACTATGGGGATACACGGTTTCACCTGGGGCGTTTTTTGCTGTCGTCTCTTTTGTTCTCTTGGCTACCAAGGTTATGACACTATACATATGAAGACTCAAGCCTGGTTCTCCGCATTGGGCGTTTTCATAGGGGTTGCATCCCTTTTTAATCTTTTTTTCTCTTCATTCTTCTCATAGCCAGCTACCCTCACAATGTATGTATATAGTTTTTTTCAGGCCTGTGAGGAGGGGAAATGCGATGCAGTATCACGATACTGTATTGAAATCCTATGCGCTGTATTGAAGCGTATTTGAAATAATAGGATCATTCCGTTCGTTCTGCTTATTATATTCAAAAAGCTGTCTATCGGATGCGATGAGCATGTGAATGAATATTGGTGGTGAATGTTTCCTAATCGGGAGCTAGCGGGCCGGCAAGTTGGAGGTGGCAATGACGTCGTTCGTCGGCACAGCATAATACCTTTTTTCTGAAGAAAAAGTAACAATATGCGCCGTATTCAGTCTTCCATCCTCCTTGACTTTATTCTCTATTGTATATCCCTCAAATAGTCATCTTTTCGCCCCCACATATCTGTGCTTTTCCGGTATACACGCGCACATCCATACCTTCTCTGTACATAAGAGAAGATGGCTTCAGAGGCAGCTCTCAACGCCCTCGGCCACGCTGTGTCGGGATCAGCCGGTGCCGCCACCTCTACTGCGGTCCTATACCCACTCGACCTCGTCACGACGCGACTCAGGGCACAGAGCCATCTTGACAAGAACACACATTACGATGGAATTATTGATGCCTTCAAGAACATTGTGCGAAACGAAGGACTGGGAGCGCTGTACAGTGGCGTCGGCGCCGACATTGGCAAGTCGGTGCTAGACAGCTTTCTTTTCTTTGGCTTTTATAACTATCTGCGACGGTACAGCAGGCGGCCGCCTCCTGTTCTGCAAGAGCTGGCCTTGGGTTCCCTGGCTGGTGCGTGCTCCAAGGCCTGCACGACGCCTATATCTAACGCCGTCACGCGCACGCAGACTTCTGCCATGGGCAAGGAAACAGTGAGCGCCATGATAAAGGGCATGTACGAGGAGTCGGGCCTTCAAGGACTCTGGTCTGGCTATTCTGCTACCCTGGTCCTAACCATCAGCCCGGGAATAACCTTCTTTGTCAACCGCCGCCTTGCCCGACGTGTCATCCCGGCCCTTGAGGAGGAAGATATACCTGTAGCATGGGCGGCCTTCCTGACGGCAGCTCTCAGCAAGGTTGTAGCTACAGCCCTGACGTATCCCTTCCAGACTGGCAAGACAAGGCTGCAGATGGCGTCATCCACCGGCAAGGACAAAAATGTGGACGAAGAGGGTTCTCCTGCAGGCCCTAAAGATGCATCTGCGCTCATGGTGCAGCGCACAAAGCAATTTCTTAATGGTACCATCTTTGGCATAATCCTGCGTATCCTTCACCGGGAAGGTCTGCGCGCCCTGTACGACGGCTTGTCCGGTGAGCTCCTGAAGAGCTTCTTTAGCCACGGCCTCACAATGTTCACCAAGGGCATCCTCCACAGGCTCATTGTGCGCCTGTGGCTCACATACAGCCCCCAGTTTCGCCAGATGTTACAGAACAAGTAGCTGTTCCTCCTCACAAAGCCGTTTGAGCCTTAACATTGGAACGTGACAGCAGATTTCTCAACTGTGCTCGTACCCCGCGCCGAGAAGCCTGTACCCTCAGACTTCAAGGAAACTAGACCAGTGGGCAGGCCTGACCTGGGACCGTCCTCCGCCGACGGGTTTACCGCTACCGGCTCGTCACAGACAAAACATGTTATAATGGAGCCTTGCTCGGAGCTCCTATTCTTGGCCGACGGGATGAGGAATTGGTCGACACATCTGCGACACAAGACGTGACCGCAGTGCCTAGCGAGGACAGGAGTCAAGGCGTTGGTTAATGCCTTGCGACACGAGGGGCAGGTGCGCTTCTTCTCGTTGGTAGAAGCGTCTTCCTGCTCGTCAAATTTGATGGTGATGAGCTTTTGCAGGGAAATAGAGTGCTGTCCGTCTTCAGACGAGGCAGGACACGTGGGTGTCGTCTTGATCTTTCTGGCAGTGGGGCCAATCTTGCTTTCGTGTACATCTGGGGTAAGGGACGGGGTCCAGAAGGAGGGCAATGATGATTTCGCAGCCTGCTTGGAATTTTGAAAAGTCAATAGCTGCGCATGGTATAAATAGGGACAGGCAACAATAGGCTGTAATGAAAGACAAAACGTGTAAATCAATATTTGTACCTTTTCGTCCTCAATGGCCTTCCTGGCTTTAGCCTTATCGTGCTTGTCGTTGCGGTCCACCTCGTGCTCATCCAATTTGAACTTCCTCTTTGCGCCAGCCGCACCCTTGTCAGCCACAACAACCTCGTGGTCATCATGTCGGCCATCTGTCAATAGGTTGAGCCGCGGAGCATCGGCAGTGAGAACATATTGTTGGGTCTCGTCACGAGTCTCCGATTTTCTGGACTTTTTGTTGGCTGGGGCGACATCGAGGCCGGCCTGGGTCATCTCAAAGTCGCGAATGGCCCTTGCGCGGTCCTCCTCATCGTCGGCGGCAGCTTTACGTTCAGCTTCTTCGTCGGCGGCCTTGCGTGCCCTTTCGGCGCGCTTGAGCTCCTGCTTCTGGGCGAGGATATTGGCGAGGGCGCACTCGCGACAGAAGACGTCGCCTTTCGGGCAGGACACGGGGTCGCGGGCCACACCAAGGCACAGACTGCACGAACCGAATGGTAAGAATGAATCGCGATTGAGGCGGGCGGAGGACTTGGCCCAGGCTGACTGGGCGAGAGCTCGTTCGTGGGCGGTGAAGACTGGCCGCGAAGTGTTTCTTTTGCCTGGTAGAATAAGGAAAAAATTGAGCTGGAAGTTAGAAACTGGGATCTTATTTGAAGCGTACGGGTTTTGACATGAATAAAGGAGGGGAGGAAATCTTACTGTGAGACATGGTTGTTTAATTCTCAACGTTGGCTTCCAATCATCTGGTAGTTGTGCACAAGATGGAACTGGGAGCAAAAACAGATGAGAGTGCAGAGGTTGAAGAAGGACGAGATCGTGGTTGCTTACGTCGCATTATTCCCTGAAAGTGGGAAGGACTGATATCCCTTGTACTTTCCCCACGTGGGGCAGTACCGCCAATTGCTTGAGAGAAGCAATTAACATTTTTCGATGGGGATTATTCCCTTCTCCTTTCCCCTAGCACCGCAGCAGCTCCAGTATGATCACAGCATGTCTGGGCCGGCGCCTCCAACGCGACCTGGCTTACCATGGCGTCTTGCCTCAGTGGCCGTTATGAGTACCGTGGGAGCCGCATCGCGCGGCTTCCTGTACGGGCTTAACAATATCGAGACGACTGGCCTGGACAAGTTCCTTGAGCTCCTGGACCAGAGAAAGGCTGTTGACATACGGCCACGCGGCCTCTTGACTGTATGCAATCATGTTGGCGTGTACGAAAACCTTACCCTCCCTGTTCTCCCTCCTCTCGCTGAACTGAGCTGACGAGAACTTACGCGTGCAGTCTCGACGATCCGATCATATGGGGTGTTCTCCCTTTTCGCTACTCTTTAGACCCAGAGAATCTCCGCTGGAGCCTTGGCGCCCATGACATCTGCTTCAAGAACAAGTACTGCCCCCCTAAAATGGGACCAATGGCCCGTAAAATGCTCACGCGCAACCTTCCCTAGGTTCATGACCAACTTCTTCGGCGTCGGCAAGGTCCTCCCAACCCATCGACTCTGGCACTCACCCTACGGCGGTCCATACCAGTCCACGATGGAGCAGGCAATCAAGCTCCTGTCGGGCCCACCCGAAGCGTCAGATGCAAACCCCAACGCCTCGACTACACCCACCCCCCTGACATACTCGACCGACGGCCAGGACGAGCACCTAGCTCCGGCATCGTACTCAGCCAACCGCAACTCCTGGGTGCATGTATTCCCCGAGGCGTGCTGCCACCAAAATCAGGAGAGCACGTTGCGATACTTCAAATGGGGTGTGTCGCGCATGATTCTCGAAAGCGAGCCGGCCCCGGACTTCGTCCCTATGTTCATCCACGGGACGCAAAACGTCATGCCCGACGATAGGGGGTGGCCGCGCTGGTTGCCGCGTGCCGGCAACCGCATCCGCATTGCATTTGGTGACCCCACAAACGTCGACGTCGTCTTCGGCCGCCATCGCGCCGAGTGGAGACGTTTGGTTGAGCAACAAGCTGGAGACTTGGACTCCCTGAGAGACCACCCGAAGGCGGTGCAGCTGAGAATCGACGTGGCCAAGTCGGCCAGAGATGAGGTCGAGAAGCTTAGGGAGAAGATGGGCCTGCCTGCTGAGGAGGACGACACGGCTGCTCTGGCTGAGACTTGGGCCAAGGAGCCTAACAAGCGCAGATTCAAGAGTCCTGTCGATGGAAGTCTGGTCAACAGACACTAAGGCGTCGGGGTCCGAAAAAGAAAGTCGTTAACGAGGAAAGGATAGGGGGGAAAGGGTACAGTTGGTCTATATTGGCGTGCTGATTGATTTCGTAATTATTCGGTATCGGAATTTATTTTCTTTTTAAATTTTTTTTGTTTAGCCTATCCATAGAAGCGTAAAGTCGTGTACAGTACTCGTGTGCCATCTCCAGGAAACAACAAATATCAAGCTTTCAGTGCAGATTACAACGATGCCCAGAAGAGTCAGCAATTCTATGTAAAAAGTATCAATGCCCACCAACTCCAGAACAGGGGAAGTCAAAAAAAGAAACTTTAAGTCATTGAGGGGAAGTCCCCGGAAAGAAAACAGTGAAAGGGAAAAAGAGGGAAGAGTGTTCCTGTATCGGAGTGCTCCAGGGCGGAAAACGGCCATCGCTACAGCATCAATTGCTCTGCCACTGCATGGGAGGATACCACTAGTAACCATCGTACCCTTGCGCAGGCACCCCCTGGTAGGCCCTAGCCTGAGCTTGAGCCTGAGCCTGGGCCTGCATGGCCTGCTGGTGAGGGTGCATTTGCTGCTGCTGCTGCTGTTGCTGAATGACAAGATCGTTGAACCAAGGGTGCTGAAGAGCCTCGTGCGCACTGATACGCAATTCGGGGCGGAGCTGTAGCATGCGCTGGAGGAGGTCGATGCCGGTGGGGTCGATGGCTGGAAGGATGGTGCGTAGATCCTGGGTGGCGTACATGTTGAAGGTGGGCTTGTACTCAGGGAGCTGGGTAATACCGGGCCAGGTACGCTCGGTGGGGGTGCCCATGATGCGGAAGATGCGGGTGATTTGGTCCTCGTTTGTGGTGCCCGGGAAGAGAGGGCGGCCGGTGTACATCTCGGCCATGATGCAGCCGGCGGACCAGATGTCGATGCTGGTGTTGTAGGTGCGACTGCCGAGCAGGACGTCCGGGGCGCGATACCAAAGTGTGACGACCTCATTGGAGAAGGTGTTGACGGGGATGCCAAAGGCGCGGGCCAGGCCGAAGTCGCCGAGCTTGAGAACGCCTTTGCCGTTGATGAGCAGGTTCTGGGGTTTCAGGTCGCGGTGCAGAACGCGGTTCTGGTGGCAGAAATCGATGCCTTTGAGCAGCTGGTACATGAAGGACTTGATGGTGACGGGGTTGAGAGCGCCGCGCTCGCCGTTCGTGTCCATGTATCGCTTCAGGTCACCGTCCATGTATTCGAATACGAGCATCAGTTTGTTCTCGGTGTGGATGACGTCGTGCAGGCCGACAATGTTCTCGTGCTTCAGCTCCTTCATAAGGGAGATCTCGCGGATCGCCGTCGATGGGGTACCCTCCTCCGAGTCGAGATGAATCTCCTTTAGCGCCACGAGTTCGCCCGTCTGGCGGTTGCGACCCTTGAAGACCTGCAGCAGACATCATGAGTTAGCAGGGGGAGGGTCTTCCGTGACGTGTATGGCTGAGCGGGCTTATATGGAAGACTCGCAGTCGCATATGTTCCCTCGCCCAGTTTTTCGAGTTGCTGGAACGAGCTGGGGTGCCTTTTCCCATCCATGGCGGCGATAATGGCTGGCGAAGCGGGGGCGGAGAAGCAACAGGTGTTGCTGACGGTCAGTGTTCTAGCGATGCAGTGAATGCAGTGGCTGGGGTGATATGGGGAAACAAAGAAGGATCGAGAGGATATGGTTGTAGGGGTCGTTCGTTACGTGTCTAGTAAGGCGTAGTAGCAAAACAGTCGACGGCAAATATTATGACTCGGTGACTCCATCACAAACAAAGGCTTCGCCCTGCCGGCTTGGTTATTAGCCCGCTCGCCGCCCTTTGGATCTTGCCCCTCATCAACGCAACGGTAGCCCAATCAAGGGCACCCAACTAAAAGAAGAGGCCCCAAAGTCCCCAAAGGCGCCAACCCCGAGGAAGGCCCCAAGTGAACCCAACCTAGAACCTAGTATCATTACTGCTCCGTACTCGCAGTAAGGAAAGACCAAAGGAATTTTGGCGTTAAGCTCGTGGAACGAAGAGCCCCGCCATGAGAGAGTCTTACTAACATATCATAGTTCACGGGAGAGCTAAGTTTGTTAGGGAGTCACCTGTTAGACTGGTGTTTGCATTAGTCGCCCATAACAGCGCTCTCTCTACATGTATGGAGTATTAGTATCTGTAGTTTTCTCTCCATGTCCGATAAGTCTGCTGAACCTATAAGCGGTACGTACTCGGCGTAATGGCGCAATCATCGCGGGGAAGTCATTAAGCCCCCTCCAGTCAGAGCCCTTCTCTGCGCCTATCAGTCCACTCCGGTGGTTCCTCAGGTGGTTGCTCCAGCGGCCCCTTCGGGCAGTAGTGGCCTTCCTCTAAGCGGACCATACCTTCTAATATAATAGATAGACTTCTCATAGAGTTGTCGAAATAAAATCACCATCCCTCATCATCTCGGTCGCTGATATTTTGTAAGCAGGCATCTGCTTTCTCTTTCAGATAAAAACAGCCTAGATATCCTCACCCGAGTCTCCGATACTGCCACCCAACCATGCGCCCTGTACCGGGCACGACCGATCGCCAGGGAGGTGGTGTTTATGACGACTGCTTGGCTATGCCAGCCGCTCCGACCACAGCTCCCGTAAACTGCTTCTTCGCTACTGAAGACACTATTGGGGAACCGTCTCATTGTCAACAAGACATGTCTCCTGATATTGCCTTTCATCCTTCTCGCCTGCGCCGAAAGCGCAGCCTCGAATCTATTTCCACGCGGGGTCGAGTCCCCTCACCAACCCCCACGTGCCACAGCATCGCGTCGCTATCGTCGTCTATGCTTGATTCGGAGCTGGACATGGATGAAGTCCTAGAAACGCACGCGCACCTCCCCAACATGTCTGGCCGATCTCCTTCTGTTCCCCCCTCGGCATCCATGTCCATTATCAGCAGCAGCCCGTCGTTAGACAGCATCTCGCTGGCGCCCTCATCTTCCCCGCCGCGCAGGGGACGACGCTGTTCTCCCATGTCACGCCCCGACAGCAGCTCTCCCCACTACGCCACCCCTCAGTTTATCATGCCCAGTCTCGCCGTGCCACAGCGTCGGCCATTTTCTGAGGCTGGCAAGTCTGTTGGCAAGCTCAAAATATTCGTCGCTGGTCGCCTAGGTCCGTCCTCAGTCTTTGGCTAATTAATTCCACCTTGTCGCCGCATGCTAATGTCGTCATCAGGAATCGGCAAGACGTCACTCATCCATGCCATGGCTCACTGCTGCGAGCATATAGTTCACCTAGACCCTGTTGCATCGACAGTCAACGATGCATTTAGGGAGATGTGGGCGAGTACCAAGCCGCGTCCGTGGTGGCGAGACGAACTGGAGCCCACCTTGGCAGGTAGCAGGAGGAGGTCTTCTGTGGGCGAGATCCTGGAGAGGAATATCTGCTTTGTTGTGCAATCCTCTTCTCAAAGCTCCACAGCCGTGAGTGACACAACGCCTTTTGACTCTGAGTGGGCTCTGTTTCATCAACTGACAGTCTGAATGCAGAAACGCTATGTCGAGAGCGACTACGTTGATGCCCAGCTATCTCCGCTGCTGTCCAAACCCATAGACGACTCTGACTTGCGGACCATTCTCAGCGAAGGAGGAGCACCTATTGTCGATGTCGTCTTGTACATGATACCACATACAGGTGCACAGAGGACCCGCCCCAAAGGACTCATCTCATTCATCCTGGATCAACACTGACTGGCTATGCAGGTCTTGAGCATGATGATATTGACTGCATCAAGTCCCTACAGGACAAGACCAATGTAGTGGCTCTACTGGCGCGCTCCGATGAACTAGACAGTGGAACCATATATGCATCGAAGCAAAAGATACGAGAGCAGATTGATGAGCACAGTCTAGACTGTTTCACGTTCGTGGCACCAGATCTGACTCCAGACATCCCCGACATCTTCTCAGTTTCTAGTGTCACAATGACGGATCACGGCATCATGGATGCCAGCGTCCTCATGAACTCAGGCTACGTACAGCCTTTGCTCACAACGGATCTCGGCCAGCTGGTGAACCATGTCTTCTCGGCAGACGGATGCGCTCGGCTAAGGGATTCGGCAGCTGCAAAGTGCATACAATGGCGCCGCACCCAGGACCGGGGCTTTTACTTAGACATGGCGCTGATGCGTCGCGACCCGGCGGACTACGCTTTGAGCCCCATTCTCACGACCAATCCCTTTATGCAGCACCGATACTGGGGCCGGATCGAACTGTCCAACTGGGCACAGGGGTTACGAAACAGCCTGCATACCGAGCAGATGGACCGCGTGGTGGAGCAGCGCATTTCGGAAGTTGATATGTACCGCGAGGAGCAACAGAGGCCTCATCACCACGACTTGGTCAGAAGGGGAGGAGAATGGCGTATCAGGGATAGAGGGAGCAGGACAATCTCCACCCGCACTTTTACTCATCAGGATCCTCTAGGACTGCTGGGCATATGCAGCCGGCTGAGGAGGGATGGGCGATGGGCATTTGAGACGATGAGCAGCGCTGGAATTGTCGGGTACTTTGCAGCATGGCTAGCAGGGATCGATGTGTGGGCATGTCCGCTGATGCTAAGGCAGTTTTCGAGGGATATTCTTGGGAGCTTGATGCTGGTATAGGCATTTATCTTTCGTTCTTTTTCTTGTTTTTCTCTTGTCCCCCTTGTTTTTTCCCCACTAGATACCTCTCGTGCTTACGAAGCCAGTAATGCTTTCGCTGTTGTCTGAATCTATCTTGTTTATTTATCCGCCCATTCGTCCAGACGCCGTCTATCTCTGTGCTATTTTCAGTAGGAATACATTACTTCATCTGCATACGGGGTCTGGGATACCAGAGCGTGTAGACTCCAAGCCTCCCTCGGCTGTTTGTTCAACACCTTCCGCAGCTGTCTCGTCTCCAATGTCCTCGGTTGTTACTAGATCCAGGCTGTCTGCGGGCTTTGGCTCTAGGTTGACCAGCGCCTCATTCAGATCGGGCAAGGAATTTGCCAACCAGGATATTTGTGCCCAGCAGACCTTGCCTAGGATCGACGGCAAAAGCGCCACCCAGCCCCCACTCGGAATAGAGTCGGTCATGCCGTCGTCGATGATGGCTTAAGTGCCACTAATTTCGAGGATCCACCGCTTCTCGTCTTCAGGGGAAGAGTGGGAGACGACGAAGAGGCGGATTTTGCTATATTGGTGACACGCTCTGGCAAGTTGCCTAAAGAGCTTCACAGTGACTATTTGGGGGTTTGAGGTGGATGGAAGTCGGCATCATGGTTGCTATTGGCGATTCAAGAGCCGAGTCGGTCCAACCTGGCGATTTCTCTGTGGAGACGTGATGGGCCCTGGTCTGGACAACTCCTGTCAACTAAGTTAGAGTATGAACTCGTGATATGGATATGTTGATAAACACTGTATTGGGGTCGTGAGAAGAAGGATCTTGGAGGGCACCTGGATGTATGCTTCCCGATAACCATACTACTAATACACAGGTACCAATAGTACTCACTGTAAGTATCTCAACAAATGAACGAAGCTTGCTGTACTCGTGGATATTGTGTTTAAAAGATACTATATTGGTAAATATCCTACTATAAGAGGGCTTGTATGAGAGTGGTGATGCTCTTGGTCATCCACATCAATTATAAATCTGCGGGCCCTTTTAGACCCTCTCTCATCGCCCCCACCTACCGTACAGCCTTTATTTTACAAGACTATACATCATCCACCAAGTTCAATTCAACGATACCCTTTTGGACACAGACGGAACCACAGCCCGTCGCTTCTGAGGTTTTTCGCGACTGGCATAGGCTTTTTCAAAGGCTCCACAGTCATTTGCGCCAGCAGACCACCTCAGTGGAAGGCCTCTTCCCTCTCTCAGTCACAAATATGCGTGAGATTGTAACGCTTCAGCTTGGCCATCTGAGCAACTATACGGGCACGCATTTCTGGAACGCCCAGGTATGTGTATCAACGGAGTCCAAAAAGTTTAAATTAGGAGGAGGAACAAAGGGCAGAAACGAGCTAACTCGGCCGACAGGAATCATACTTTACATACTCAAGCGATGAGACATCACCCATCGACCACAACATCCACTGGCGCCCTGGTATCGGCGCCGACGGCTCAGAGACTTTCCTCCCGCGAACAGTCATCTATGATCTTAAGGGTGGATTTGGATCTTTGCGCAAGATCAATGCGCTGTACGAGCCCGAGCCGCAACCAGAGCAGCTCGCATCACTATGGTACAAACCCTCGTCTTGCTCTGGAACTCCCCATTACCCTCACCTGCTCACATACACACAGGTCCGGCAAGTCGGTCGTTGAGAAGCAGCCGCCCATAGAACCGAGCGAATACCAGGCCAGTCTAGATGCGGGAACCATGCCGCCAGCGCTGACCCAGTCGTCGGTAAGGTTCTGGTCCGACTTCTCGCACGTCTTCTACCATCCCAAGTCGTTGGTGCAGCTGTACGACTTCGAGCTGGACTCGACCATCCGGCCCTTTGAGCGGCACGACATGGGCGTGGAGCTGTTCGGCTCTCTAGACAGGGACGACGACATTGTGGACCGCGACTTCCGCCCCTTTGTCGAGGAGTGCGACCAGATGCAGGGTGTCCAGACGCTGGCCACCATCGACGACGCCTGGGGCGGCTTCGCGGCCCGCTACCTCGACGCCCTGCGCGACGAGTACCCCAAGACTTCGTTGTGGCTATGGGGTCTGCAGAGCCCTGATGGCGGCGTGCTGCCCCGTGAGAAGCGTCAGCTGCGCATCGTAAACACCGCCCAGACAATCGCCCACGTCTGCTCCACTGCTTCCGTCGTCGTACCCCTCGGCCTCCCCGCTACCTTGCCGTCCAACATGGCCGGCCTCGACACCAGATCGCCCTGGCATGTGTCCGCCGCCTACGCCACCGCCATCGAGACCGCCACCCTGCCCTCGCGGCTAGCTGTCCCCGGCGCCATCTCCCTGTCTGATCTCGCCCAGTCGCTGAACACGGGTGGGCACCAGACTCTCGCCCGCCTGCGCATGAAGGTCGGCGGTGCCGCCAACAAGGACGCCGACTTCTTTGGCATAGGCCTTCTCAAGAACAATGCGCGAAGGAAGCCCGAGAAGACTGGCAATGTCTTTGGCCAGCTGACCTCATCGCACGGCCCTGGCCCAAGCAAGCAGGACGACAAGGAGGCAGAGCAAGCTGACCCACGCTCCAGGCGAATTGTTGGCGACTTCATCTACGAAAAGTAGGTCTATAAACCCATACATTCCCCGTGGCTGACTATGATACTGACATAACACACAAGCTTTGATTCCTCCCTCAAGTTCCCCCTCCTCGACAGCTTTCCTTCCATCTACGCCGATGCCGCCGGCCAGTCTGATATTGCCACCCAAACGATCCTGTCTACCGAGACGTCCATTGCCTCGCGCATCAAGGACCTCAGGTCCATTGCTGCCTGGTCCATACCCCTTGATGAGCGCGAGACCCTTTCCAACGAGCTAGCCCAACTTGGTGATGCCTACCAGGGAGATTGGTCAGAGGGCAGTGACGAAGATGACGATGATATGTAGAATGAAATGAAACCCGATATATTGAAAAGTTGAAAAACAGATGGCAAGAAAAGACTGCCATCCTCCACCACGCGATCTGTCCTTGTTCCAAATTTCACCAGCTCCAGATCAGTCCCCTTTTGTAGGGCACTTTCATGGTATTCGGGGGCCCTGTGACCCCAACAGTGGCTTCTATTAAATCTAGAGAAGGAGAAAAAATTGTGAGAGTCGGCTAGGTACAAAGATAAATATGGGCACGAAGGAAAAGGCCGCTCATCTATTTTCCTCATCCACATGTAGAAAATGACATGTCTCAGGCTCTTTTCTTAGCGACTGTGCAATGCGGGTACCACACACAATCTTTCCTTTTTTTTCTTTTTCTCTTTCCGAAGGGGGTCAAAGGGTCCCAGACTCGGGAGTCTGGATACGAAAAACAGTCATATCGCTCTCACTAACCCTTCCACCACACCCATAGTCGAGCGTCGATGGAGGGAGTAGGGAAGCACCAGGGATTGTAGCGAGTATCATCCGGGCTAGAAATCGCCTAGGGATCGGGTGAACAGCCAAAAAGAAAAAGAGCTCAGGTAGGAAAGGGTGGAGGGGGATATTATCAAGGGTAAGGAGGGGGGGCTTGGTTCTGCTCGTTAGTCAGGGTGTTGTACAAAAAAAAAACTGTGAAATGACTTCTCTCGAAAATCGTTGGTGCCTCTTGACTGTGAGGCAAAGTCCAGACTGCCGTATCTTACTGCCGGCAAGGGACTTCATTTCTTTTTGTTCTTGTATTTCCATTCTCCATCTTTTTTATGAATGGCAAAGAACATCGTGGTGTGGGTTTGGGGTTTATCCTCATCCTCTTTTTTCTCCCTCACAGCGTCGGGAAGAGTAATCAACCCGCAACAGCAGCGGAGGGCTGTTGGCGCTTGGCAGGCGGCTGTTTCGAGTTGTTGTCCTGCACAATCATCAGTTCCTGTCTCCCCGGAAAGGTCGAATCGCGACTCGCAGAGCTCGAGTGGGGAGCCAATGGTCGAGGTCGTCTCGGTTGCATTACCTCGGAAGCCTCTCGCTTCTTGCCATTCTTCGCGCTCCACTTCTTCTGGGGTTTCTTCTCGCCGGCGTCGAACACATCATCCGGGAGGTTGAAGCTAAAGAAAATTATATTATAAGTAACCAGCCATTAAACCAAGAGGGGCATGATGGGTCAACGCGAGCAGAAAACGTACTTTCGACAGTGTTGCACTCCAATCGTCGCCACATCCTGGAGCTCATCCTGGTACTTCTGCCATGAGGTGCAGAGTGCTTTAAACTCATCTACCTCCTTGGAGAGATCGAGCGATTTAGCGTCTACAAGAGTGCAAGTCAGCTTTCAACGTTCCATGTGCCATCACACCTAACTCTCCGATTTTCTGGACGACCGAACGTACCACTTGCAAGTTCCAGGCCAATGTAATGTGTCGTAGTATAGATCTCGAAGGGTTGGGGTGGTGCAGGAGTGGAATCCAGTCCATTCGTCACGCCATCTTTATCGACGGTGGGTTTCCCGGCATCGTCGGGACCAGGTACTGCATTCTCTTTTTCTTCTTGCTTGATATCTGACACTTCTTCCATTCTGACGGACCCAGTGTCGTTGCTCGCATCGACTCCATTGGAAAGGGGTGGCGTATCAGGCCCTACCAAATATTTCATGCTTCCCTCCTGTATTTGCTGAACCTCTTCACACGTGGTACACCTGTGACGACGCTCATAACCCTTATTGAAGGCATGGGCCATGGCGATGCTATTGTGCTGCTCAAGCTTCTGAACAAGCATGCGGACCTTCGATTCGACGTAGCCAGACCAAATCTTGTGGGCCTCAGAGGTCTTGCTGCTAGATATGACACTGATGTAGTATTTGTATCCCAAGGTGAAGAATGTGTGCTTGACAAACAGATCGCACCAAGGTCGCTTCCCAGTCATTACCTTTTCGGATATCTCAAACCCGCGCCGCAACTCACGTTGGATAATGGTCATGGACGAGCGAGTGATGTTGAAGGTGGCACACATGGAAGGGTAGGCCGGCGTGATGACGGGCATGAGATGATACATGTCACCCTTGTAGACCTTGGGGTTCCATACGCGAACTGGCAAAGAGCCAGACTCTATGGGCTTCAGCAGAACGGGGTGGGGCCATTTCCATTGACTGATGATGAGGAAAAATTTATTCACCACAACAGAGGCAGCAGCCTTGGGGTAAAGCTGACAGACGCGAGCAACAAGCATGGCCCAGGCCACACCTCCCGGGAAACCCATGATGTTTGCGTATATCGCACGACGTTGCGCCCAGAGCTTGATAGCCCTCAGGGCCTGCCTGAAAGTGCTTCGTTCAGGGACCAGATCGAGGATCTCGTCTGTAACACGGGTGCCGTTTAGGGATCGGAGTTCGGCCTCATCCAGACCACGCAGCAGAGAGGAATCCTTCAAGGTCAAATCTTCAGGCAGTTGCTTCTGAATGATCCGGGAGAAAATCAAATCGATGCTAATACCCGAGTACTCGAACTTGATGATGGGGACAAAGGCATCAGTCACGACGGTAAGGCCGGTGATGGAGTCCTTGGGTGCCATCTCAACAAGCATCCTGGGGAAGTGCTCGAAGTAGTCATCCCTTGACACGTATTTAGGAGCGACGATCAGGGTATCGATATCAGACCCGGGTCCGTAGACGCCTAGACGGTAACTGCCGTAGGTAAAGACTTTGCCGATGGCGTTGCGGATGAGAACTTCGTTCTTCGGTTCGCGTACGCGGGCGACGTGTTTGACAAATTCATTGCAGATTCGCTTGAGAGACTCGAGAACCGTTTCTCTACAAAGGGAGAAGACACGTCAGAGACCAATAAGCACGCGCAATTCTAATTCCTGTCTTGGGGAGAGTAGATGATGCCTACCTCTTGGCTGTATCAGCCGGGCTCTCAAACGTGTTCTGCCGCTTCAACTCCTCCAGGAGATCGTCGGTCACCCGCCTCTCGGCATCGGTCGGAAGGTTGACATTCATGGGCGGCGTGACGCCGTACACTTGCTGAGTGGGTTCCATTGCCGTAGTCGTCGTTTGGGATCGCGATTACGAGAACGAAAGCCAGCGTCGACAGCAGCAAAAATAAGAAAGGGCGACTCGGAGACCATCAGACGATGGTCTTTGCGAGGGGATGCAGACCACTCCCGGCCAAGCTAATGGACCGCCCTGGGCCGTGGAGAGAATGGCGCTGCACTAAAGTGCTTCGGGAAGCGTGAATGATGAGGCGAAGATATTGTTTGATGATGTAGAAAGTAACTTTTCTGTTGCTGGTAGACTTCAGTGGTTTAAGCCCAGGGAACTACGAGCAATGCGCAGAGGCTTGTGACAATCAAAAATGGTAGGGGTGTGGTGTATAACTATTATTACGCTTGTGCGAAAATGGTGGAATCTTTTTTGTCATCATTCGCTATGGCGGCCGACCAGCCACGCAAGAAAAAGGGTTTCACACGACAAAGGAGAAACATTATCACTCGTACAATTCCTGGTTTTGCGTACGATATATATGCTGACAGAGTTTCCTCATTGTGACGTTTCTAGTATTGACTAAAAGCTATGTTAACGTATGAGTGCGGAGTAATGTACGAAGCACAGTAGAAGTAATATAATTCCATGGTACACGTACATATATGCGCATAGACAGACTTCACCTGAAAACGCGTAGCGACACCCTTGAGCCGTAGTCAAAATCAATAAGATACCGACGCTAGCCCAATAATGGAAAACACACGTGTGCTTTTTCTTATGCACCAATCCGCATACGGCTAGGCCCTGTTCATATTAGATTTTCGCTTGGGACACTCAACGCGAACGCGGTCCGCGCACCAAAAACGCAAACTCCAGGAGCCTTACGTCGTACTCTTACATCAACGAAGATGGGTTGAGATCCCTTGCAACTTCAATTCCAAACAGAGCCCGGCGCTCATCATCGTACCACTACAGGCATCATTAGGGGGTATCCAGATCAATATTCCCCCCCCTTATTGATGCGTCATCAGCCTTCCCTACGATTGAAACTCTGTCGCCTCAGAATATAACCCTTCGCACGAAGCCCTTCGACGTCCGCACAAGTTTGCAGCAATATATCACGGCCTGGCTAGTGGCAGTACAGCTCGCCGTCCCTCCTACACACAGACAGGAATCTCATTCGAGAGACGGAACAGCCTACTCCCACAGTCAATACATAATGCCGCCTTCGTCGAAGCGATCCCAGCGCAGGCGTCGGGAAACGTCGGATGCCACGGCACCTCCAACGGAAGAGGAGACGACGCCCACGCGCCCAGCAAAGCGTCGCAGAAAGGTGCGCATAATATCACGCCGATAGCATCCAGCTGCTGCCATATGGAACGCCATTAAATGTGAGCTAGTGAACTTTGCTAACATAAGCTGCAGCTGTCGGAGCACGAACTGCCTGATACAGAACTTCCCGCCAACGGTGGTGACGATGCCCTCGTCACGCAGGTCACGCAGCATCTCAAGAGCCACCCGGTACAAGCGAGTAGGGACCATGCCAACTCGATTCACGAAGCCAATGGTGACGGCGTGCAAGCATTTGCCAAAGTCGCCGCCCAGGACTGGACTTTTTACATCACTAAGCTAGCTATCAACATCGGAAGGGCACCCGAGGGGGCAGCCCCCGATACTGTGGCCGGCGGTAAGCGTCCCGAGAGGCGCCGAGACGGAGACAGGGCTCTCAGTGAAGATGTGGGCGATGAAGAGTTCGGCGAGGAGAGCGTTCACATTGATCTAGGGCCTAGCAAGACCGTGTCTCGCGAACATGCCATGATATCGTACGACTCCAAGAACGAGAGATGGCTTCTCACCGTTAAGGGCCGCAATGGAGTGCGAGTTGACAACAGGGCTCTGAAGCCCAGCGAATCTCACCAACTTTCAAGCGGTGAGGTCCTGGAGGTTGGTGGTGTCGAGATGATGTTTGTCCTGCCATCCGAGCTCAGTCCGCTTCATATCAACTCTACCTTCCTCGAGAGGTGTGGCCTAAATGCGGCAACGACGCCGGTGTCCCGTCGTCCGCTTCGCCAACATGCGCACACGCGCTCGCCGTCAGACGACCTCAAACGACCGGGAACGCCACCGCCGCCGCCTTCAACACAGAGCCGTAACGGGCTCGACTCAATGGCTTCGCCTGCCTTTAGCACACCCGGGCCCGTCATGGTGGGTGCCAACGGTGCCGACCTGAGCAAGGACGAGAACAAACACATCAAGCCTCAATACAGCTATGCCCAGATGATTACCCAGGCTATCACTAGTGTTCCTGACGGCAAGCTCACGCTCAACGGCATATACACCTACATCACCGACAATTACGCTTACTACCGCCACCAGACGCCTTCAGGTTGGCAGGTAAGATACACATATACACCCAATAAATGCGTGCTTGCATGAATCAACATCAAGCACATGTGTACCCTTCTAGCTACTGACACCCTGGATAGAACTCGATTCGACACAATCTTTCTCTCAACAAGAACTTCGAGAAGGTCCCCAGGTCCACCTATGAGCCAGGCAAAGGTGCCAAGTGGCAGATTGTAGCCGAAGTACGCGAGGAGCTCATCAATAACGCCTGGCGCATAGGTCGCGGTGGGCACCGCGGCTCCTCAGCGCCCTCGTCGCCCAACAAGCTCAACTACATCACCCAGGGTCCCAGGGACATGGCATCGCGGGGGTCGCCGTCGAGCCGGAAGCGCCGCAGCTCCATCCTTTCGCCGCCACCCCGGTCCTCTCTTCCCATGTCGCAGTCTACCCCCGATGGACCTCTGCGACACTCAAGCCGAGCCAACGCCGTCCTGACGGCCGACGGGAGCCCGCTCCCCCGCGCCAAGAAGTCGGATGCGGCTGATCCTTCCTTCTCGAGCTTCAACCCGCAATCCCCAACCCTGACGTCATCATATCTACAGGATGAGGGCGGCTCATTCATCACGCCCGCACCCCCGCGCGTCAATCCGCGTCTCGCTCCCCCAAGCACTGCCCAGCGTCCAAGCCAGCACATGCCCACCAGTTCGCCCGCCCCCTTCTGGCGGTTCTTCGACATTGGCAGCACTCCCTTGCGACCGCCCGGTGGAGGCGAACTTGGCACTAGTCCCTTTAAGCCCTCCGCCCCCATGCCTGTTGAGAGCAGCAGTCCCGTCCCCGGCAGCGGCCGCGGCAACAAGTCCCTCCCCAGCAGCCCTACACGCGGAACCCAAGACGATGACGACGACGCAACTCCTAAGAGGGAGCGCCACGAAAACGATGATGATGGCGACGTCAACGTCAGAGAGGAGACAGCGACAGCGGATGGCGGACAGAGTGACAAGGAGGACAATGAGCTAGAGGGCGACAAGCCATCTCAGCCGCAGCCGCAGCCGCGGCCACGACAGCATCACCAACCTCCTCCACCGCCACCAGAAGACGACGAGGATGATGATGATCAGGGATTCGACCTTGCCAAGTATGTTCCTTCTCTCCCACTTTTCAGGAAGTGGCACAACTAATAAATACGCAACTGCAGGGGTTTCCAGAGTATCGGGGCTTACCACGAACCTGCCGGCAAGGGCATTTCCGTGGCGAATGCCTTTGGGTCGCATTGAGAGAGATAAGTGCTCTTGCTTTCTTGGTTTATTGTTTTATTGCTTTTTTGTCCTTGGTGACACAATGACACCGACCGACTACTTGTATGTCGATCGGGTCCGTCAGACGAGATATTTGTATACTGGACTGGGTATCAGGTGATGGCGCAATGCGTGAGACGAATCATGATAGGATAGGAGTATGGGGGTAACACAAAATCACATAGTAGACGGGATAGGCTCTGGGGGTTTGCTTTCATCTTAGGTTTAGCCTTGTGCTTTGGTTCGCCAACACGGATGGGCTTAGGCTATCTCTTAGGCCTCTCGCGCGTCCCGAAGGCATATTACTTATACATGTACACCTGGGATATCATATTGCTTTAGTTCCGTAGGCAAGCAGACATGCGAAGAAATTATCTGGTACATCTCGAACTACACATGGGACTGAGGTTTTGAGTGAGGCTTCTCTTCTTTTTTTTTTCTATTTGGCATGATCCGGCAACACTGCCGTCTAGATATGACAATTGCGCCTCTCCCCCTCCCTATGCTGTATAATCGTCATAAGAAATGTAAACATGCTTTTTTTATCCGCCCCGCCCCGACCGTCCAACCCACCTCAGTTTTTCCCTTTTTTCCTTTTGACTTTATTTCTCCGCAAATTGGATAATAATACAAGATGTGAAATCAGAGCGTTGGGAGAACTAGCTCCCTTGTCCAGCTTCTTGGGCTGAGTTAGCTTGTTATTTGGCAGCACGGCCCCTGCGCTTAGGGTTGCCCTGGACAGCAGGGCGCTTCTTGGCCGACTTGGACTGCTGGTCGCTGCCCTCGATGAACTTGATGAGCTCGTCAATGCTGCGCGAGTCCATCTGCGGAGCAGAGGTCATGCGGGTGGCGGGCGCGGCGGGCGCGGCGGCGGGCGTAGCCGGGAAGCGGATGCCGGAGCGAATGCGCCTGGCCTGGGCGTCCTTTGCGTGCTTGGCAATGGAGACGGCGTTCTGAGTCAGCTGCTCCAACCAGGTCTCGGCCTCTTTGGTGTTTTTGTCCTCAGGGCCAAGCTCAGCGAGGAAGGAGTTGTACGACTCCCTCATGCGGTTGACGGCAGCCTTGGAGTCTTGGTCCAAAGCGAGGGCCTGAGCCAGCTGGAACTGGAGAGTCGCCGAGTTGACCGACTGCTTGCCGAAGACGGTCTCACAGACGCGCAGGGACTCCTCGAACCAGAGCCTTGACTCGTGGTAGGCTTTGACGTGTTGCAGCATGACTGCAGCGTTGTTCAGGGTCGTTATGGAGTCGGGGTGGTCAGGTCCGTAGATGATCTTCCAAAGCTTCAGGGCGTGCTTGGAGTAGACCAGGGCGTTCCTGCTGTCTCCAGACTGGTGCAGGAAGAGACTCAGGTTAAGATAGTTGAGCAGAGTCTCGGCCGAGTCAATACCGACAGTGCGCTCGGCAACAACAATGGCCTTCCTGGCCAGCTCGACAGCCGCCTCCTTGTCATCCAGATTGTAATACAACATGGACAAAGTGTTGTAGACGCGCGCAACCTCAGGGTGCAAGATGCCGTAGATTTGCTCGTGAAGAGAGAGTGACTCGAGGAGGAGCTCCTGGCCGAGCTTCTTCTGGTTTTGCATGAGCGATAGACGTCCAGCCTCGAGGGCCTCCTCGGCAAGAGAGCTGCGCGGGCACGAGTGCTTGACAATGGGTACAACGGCCACTATGTCGTCGGCAGTGAAGGTCGTCGGTGGGGATGTAGGAGCTGCGGATGCAGGGGATCCGTCGCGGGTCTTCTTGCTTTTCTTCTTGTTCTTGCTGTCGCCGTTGGTCTTGGGCTCCGTAGTAGCAGCAGTGGGAGCAATAGGAGCATCAGTGGCTGAGAAAACGTACTCCTTGGCTTGGATTTGGATACCCAGCCTTAGGGAAACCTCACGGAGAAGCTGAGTGGGGCGCTCGTACAGGAACCAGCCAGGCTCAAGCTTGTAGCGGAAGCGCTTGAGGACCTGCTCCTGGAGCTCGGCACGGAGGCTCTCGGGGGTGACGCCCGCGAAGGACCAGTCAGAGTCGGGGTACAGGGCCTTCAGAGGGGCGTCAACCTCGGCGACAGGCTTGGCGTTGACCTGGGAGCCAAGTAGACAGTTGAGGAGGTGAGCGATGGCCGCCGACGTAGCAGGCGTGGGAAGGTTGCCCAGGTACTGGGAGGCAATGTGCTTGAAGGAACGGGCAATCATGTCCTGAACACAGATGGCACGCATGCACTGCAGGCGGCGGTCGGTGCAGAGCGATGTGATCTTGCCGAGGTACCTGATGTTGATACCACGCTTGTGGAGGAGGCGGCTCAGAGATTGACCATCCATTGGGAAGCTAATATCAGACTCCGTCAGCTCGCGCAGGAGGTCGGGAATCATGCGTTCGCGGAGATGCTGGCCAGCTGCGCGTACATCGGCCTCGTCCTTCTCCCACTCAGCCTTCTCCTCCTTGGTCTGGGGGGTCTGGCCACTGAAAGCATCAGGGTTGAGAGAGAACTCAAATTTGGAGAGGTCAGGTTGGGCTTTGGGCTTAGCCGCCTTCTTCATCTCCTTCTTCTTCTTTTTCTCTTCCTCGTTGTCCGACTCTGACTCCGAATCGTCAGAAGAGTCATCAGATTCTGTGTCCGAGTCCGAGTCGGAAGAGTCGGAATCCTCCTCTTTCTTAGCAATACGAGCGAGTTCGTTGTCAACGTACTCCTTCATCTTGTACCGGCAGAAGGCATCAATGAGCTCGGGGCGCAGCACCGTCATGCGGTGAGGATATTCGCCAAAGCCAGACGCTTCCTTGGTTTCCTCGAGCCACAAGACATCAAGGGGTGTGACACGGTAGAGGTCAAGAGCGTACTTGCGACCGTCAGTGCCCATGAGACCCTTGGTCTCCACACTCGACTCGAGGTCAAAGCGCTTTCCGTCCTTGTCCCAGACACCGTGCTTCTTGACCTTGAGAGCCTTGGAGAGCTCGGAAAAGACGGAAGTGAAGCGCTCATCGGCGGCCACAACATCTTTGCCGTCAACTGCACCGTAGTCAATCTGGTTCTCACCAGGCTCACGCTGCTTGAAAATACCAGGGACAATACTCTGGGCGACAATGCGCTTGCCCGAGTAGTCAGCAACCAGTGTGGCCGGGGTGAAGAGGCCGTCGATGTCGAGTTGATTGACCAGCCTGACTCCGGAAACATCCTTTCCTGTAGCAACCCTGGCAGCCTCGTCCCCGCCCTCGGAGGTGAAGGTACCGACACCGTCGGCACCAAACGAGAAGAAGATGTTGTTGTACACAAAAATCTGGGCGTCACGGCATTCTGTCGGGTTCAGAGGCGAAATCTCGCCACGAGCGACCATGACGGCTCCACGGGTGGCAGCATCGTTGTAGTCGGCAAAGAGTTTGGAGATCAGGCGCTCACGGAAGACTCGATCCTGCACAGTCTCCTTGGGAAGCTCCTTAGCAGACTGGAACTCCTCGTTCCAGTCCCTCAGATTGTCCGTGTTATCGGCACCTGAGAGAAGATAAGTCTCCTGGGGACGAGTAGGGTCCGGGAGATGAGTGCAGAAGACGGAGCTGGGGGAGGGGACGGCCCAGGGCGAAGAGGGGATAGAGTTGGTGATCTGGAAGGTGGCCAGGGGATCACGCAAGTTGTTGTACTCCTGGAGGTCGGCAAAGGACTTGTCAAAGGAAGGCGACATGAGACCCAGGAGCTCAAGGAGGGAGTGCGAGGCAAAGGCCTTGGGCGGGAGCTTGGGGAAGGGGTCAAACTTGGCGTTGGATGACTTGTTGACGAAGAAGCCCGACACATGGGATGTGATCTGGTACTGCTCACCCTCATTGGTAGTGACAACAAGGTAGAGCAGGTGTCCCCTCTGTCTCAGGTGGACGGGAGGAGGGTTCCATGACGAGACGGCAATGGATTTCACCGTCTTAGGAGCAGGCTCCGGCTCATTGGGGATGAGGGTTGTGAGGGGCGGTGCCGCAGCGAAGTCAAAGTTTTGGGACTCCTCGGCAGCCGTCTCGGCCTGGGCAGTCTTGGTGACGGACTCGAAGAGCGAGATTCCAGCCAAGGCACCCTGAGCCGTGTCGGTACGGTCACCAGCAGCGCCAATGAGCTCCCTGATGCGAACCAGGTGAATACGAGCCTCCTTCTCTGTGTAGGGATCCTGGACCACATGGAACTCGGGCTCGGGAGCAAGGTCAGGAATATCAGCAATGGGGATGAAGTCATTGATTTTCTGACCCTTGTGTTCGAGGTGGAAGCAAGTATATCGGAAGGCGGCCGGGAGGTCGATAATGGTCTGGCGGACTTCATGGACCTGCTCCTGAGAAGAGACCTGGAGAGAAGAGGGGGGTTCAGCATTAAGCTAGCCTACGAAAGAGTGAATGGTCAGACGTACTGTGATCTGTATCTTCTCCGTGTTCGGCGCGGGGAGAACAATGGTGATGCTTAGGAGAGCTGTTGAGAAAGTGAATTAGCACGACATATACCCCCCTTGTATAGCTCAACGTGTTCTCTTCTAACCTTCAGCAGCCGCATCAAGATCGGGAGCGGCGTTCTCATGCTCCTGAACATCTCCGTTAACTGCAGTATGGTAGCACAGTCAGCACATGCGTTCATTGTTAGGAAAGCTACAGTTATTGGTGAGGTCAGAGGGTTCTTCGTACCAGGAGCTGAGGTAGGCTTTTCAGATTCCACCGCCATATTGACAAGCTGGGGAGGAGGGGGAATGGAACAAAAAGTCTATAGAAGAAAAAATACCCAGGGGGACACAATTATAGCAAAAGCCCCGTCATGAAGAAACGGCACAAAGGAAATGCCGAGGACAATGCAAGAAGGAGAACTAAAGAAAAGATCGGTCTTCCTCGAGGCCGGCTAAGATGAACGTATGTTTGCCGTGGGAAAGAAAAATTGAATGGACGAATTGTCGGTAGGCGTGCGGGAAGTCCTCATCCCGATGCTCCGGCATACAACCGCAACATTAAAGTGACCTATTATTTAACTGATTCTTCTATGCGGATAGAGGTTTTTATCAAGTACCTTTTAACCCCCTTGCCCCTCAGTGTGCCCCGAGCCCGGCCGATTCCAGATCAAAGCATTGGCCCTAATTCTAAAAGGGAAGAAAGTAAACACCCCTACGTAAATTAATACTAGGCTAATGACCCTGAGTTGCTGACCAGCTAGTGACCAACCACCACGAACGACGATTTATGTCGCCGTCTCACACAGTCACAACATCACACCCTATTAATATTCCAATCATGCATTTTTCTTTGCATTCGATTGTTCATTATCCCATATTCACATTAACTTTTATCAATAATTTGTCCTCGAGCTTCGTCTTCTTTATCCCTCTAGAGATGGCATCGTCTCCTTAGCATCCATGTCTCCTACGCGGGTTGCCAAAACACCGGAATCGACTCGTCGATGGGACACGCGACCGACGCGAGCCCACATGACTACGACAACAACGAGAACGCATAGGCCGTGTAGCAATGGTCCCATAGACTCGCAGCCATGGACTGCCTCCCGATGCCACCGGCTGCTACGGCAATTGGAATCTCGAGTTGTAGCTCTGCGAAAGCTAGTGGCCCATATAGATCACCATCAAGGGTCAGCGGTTGTCAGACGTCGCCCATCCAAGAGGACGATGCTGCAGGAGGAGGAATCCGAACAAAAGAGGACTCGGTATACATATAGCACCAGGAGGAAACCGAAATCCACATCTACAGCCAAGCAAGAGCCTTCCCAGTCTGCCACCACGCCGCCTCGGTCCATGCGTCGACTGGGGGCAATCAAGGCCAGCCATAAATTTCCATTTGCATACCAAAATAGCTTTCCTACGCCGGTTTGTCGAAAATTCCACACTATTCAAGGACAAATTAAGGGGAGCATCGACGCTACCCCCGAAATGAGCTATACGAAACGAGTACCACGAGATCTCAACGACGAACTACAGACCTTCCGAAATGGCAGCCCCGAAGGCAGATACCGCATTTATACGGGGATATTTAGCTGGCTCTGCGAGCTCTTGTTATCGACAGAGGTCAAAGAGAACGAGGCGCACAAGAAGTCACTGCTGGGCATGTGCTTGCGCAAGATTCCCGCATGTGTCGACGACATCGAAAGGTGGGATCGGGAGACGTCCCAAGACAAAGTAACAAGCTCCCTGAATGGGACCATAAGTGTATCTCTAGAGATATACGGGCAGCTGGAAGAGTTTGGGGCCGCCGGCTTGGGATGGCGTCCTCTCAAGCAGACGGTACGGGCGCACGGGATGTCGCTTCTGAAAAAGGCTGTCGCCGAGGGCCTGTTCGACGCCTCATTCGTTGGACTACTCGTTCGTCTCTGCATCTGCTTTGAAGGGACCGCTGAAGCAGCCTGCCTTGCCCTGGCCATGCCGGGCCCATTTCCACCACCGCGCAGCACCCAGAGCTCCTTTTCTGAGAGCAGGCAGCTCGAACCATTGGGTGTGCTGCTTACCAACACGATGCACAATGATGAGACTAGAAATCGGGGGGCTGTGTTTGGCTGCGTGTCAGGATATCTCAGAGAAAAACACCTTCCCGCTACTTGGATATGTTCGAGGGCCTATTCTGCAGTCCTGACTTCGGCCGTCGAGAGCATCAGTCAGGAAAGAACGTGTGGCCCCGTCGCTGTGGAGCTTTTGAGAACGACGACGGAAATGCTTGCCAATGATGGCCAGGGTATTAATTGTTCGGATACGCGAACGAGCGAAAAGCAGCAAGCATTGATTCGACTTGCTGCAGGACTGGCTACCGCGGCTTCAAATGTGATCGAACGCGCGGCGCCAAGAGGGGATAGTAATACGCGCACAAACCCGCAGAGATTGCTGCTTCATAGTATTGATAGCTGCATTAGAGCGGTGAGTCCCATACAACAGCAAACGATACATGGTCGTGGCGGCTTGCTTGTTCTATTGCTTGCCCGATTCATCGCCCAGAAACAAACCGGCATAGCCTCAGCACAGAATGATGCGGACAGCGTACGGCTTGCAAGGTTGATCTCTCACATGGACGGTTTTGAAAACAACACCACTCAAGGCCCCTATCGCCAGATGCTGCAGTTAGTGTGCTCGGTCGCCCAAGGACGAAGTCAAGCAAAGGGACGGCCGAGCTACGATTGCCTCGTTCAGGTGCACAGCGAGCTGCAGAAGGACCTCTCACTGCCCCGCTGGTTCCTGGACGGGCTAGCCACGGAAGGCGCATTCCTCCTCGCACAAAAGACGCGCGACCTACGAGATCTTGCTTTTGCTGAACGGCAGATCCATCCCACCGGGCTGACCACTACCCCAGGACGAACACACACAATGTTTTCTGGTTGGAGGTGGGAGGACGGCATCAGTGAATGGGTGATGCGTAGCCCCGACGATGCCAAAAGAGGGGTGCCGTTTCAGATGTGGGCTGCGGGTTCATCTGCTCCATCAAAAGCCAAGACGTCTCAGCCACATTGCCGACCACCCAACACGGAGGTGCTAGATGACGACGACTACGATGATGACGACTGCGAGGAGGGGGAGCCTACATGTAGAGAAGGCAACGCTGGCAGATGGAAGCGACCGCCGTTACGGGTACCGATCCACCACTGTTATGCTGCTAGTACACATACGAGCAACACAAGCAGCGTTCGTACAACCAAGATTTCCTCTTGTTTGTCTGCTGATCCACACTCAGAAAGACGAAAATGCAACCCGAATATGGGGGTGAAAAAGGATAGTGGTGACAATGATGACGGTGGTGCTCAGAAAAGGAAGGACGCGGTGAGGATGAGAACGGAGATTTTGCTGCTGGCCAGTGTACAACGAGGCGAACAAAGCGTGCAGCAGAGAGAGGGTCATGAGCAGGGGGAGAAGGAACAGGGGAGTGGCCACCACAGCATTAGCGTGGAACGATTGACAACCAAACGGAAGCTGCGTGTTAGCAGCTGCAGTGCTGCTATCACTGGGAATGCCCCTGTTGGGGCTGATGCTGGGGCCGGTGCTGCTGGGGCCAGATCTACACGTACGAATATTGGACGACGCCGTCTGTTGATTGCCAGGGATACTAGTACCCAATACTAAGTACAGGTATGTTACAGGATTACAGCGTACGAATAACGACGTTTGTAGCTAAGTGTTACAACTTACGAGGACTATTAAGTTTAATGAGCCTATTACATTGCACGGCAATCGAAGGACAAGAATCATGCCGATGTGTGGCTACGATTAGCTAGAAGTCATCAAGCAGACATGGGTATGGGCTATTTGCGTGGGCCGTTTCGCAAATACGCCGTCACTTCTCCATGAAACTCATTCTTGCGTGTTTTTTTATTTATTTTTCTTGCTCATTGCTTTTACAACATGATTAGATGAATTTTCGTGCTCATACTCCGCAACACGGGCCCTCCCCTTGTAGGCGGCTGTGACTGGAAAGCCCTTTGTTGATTGCTCTTTGTTGCACCCTCATTGGTCGCCACAACCAACCTGTCGGAGACCGCAATGACCTGTTTCAAAGCTTTGAGCGAGAAACAATGTCCTCTGGCTCCGTAGTAATCATGAGCGAGTCCCGGTCTTGACCTTCTACTCCAGCCAGTGGCTGTTTTTGCTTCTGTAATCGACCATACAAGGCTAACAATAGCCTGTGACGCAAAACATTTCAAGGGGGGCGCATGGTGATTTGTACGACACACATACGTAGTCGTTTGTCGTACGAATCTCGTACGGAGTTCTCGTGCGTGTTAGTACTAGGAGCACTACTACTTCTTCTACCTCTGTACTAAGAATAGTAGTAGTACTGTACTCATAGTGATACGTACGAGTAGACATTAGACAAAAGCATTTTGAATTGCTCTTGTACTCCCAGCACAACTCTAGAATACTAGTATCACTGATATTAGGGAGGCCCAGGGCACTCCAGTAATACGACATGATAATATGATATTGATCGATCAGGTTTACAACGATCCATACCATGTATCCGTAACTCAGTATTAATAACTATTAATTTGGTGTTTTTAATATGTCAAGCAAGTCCTGTTAGAGTGGAGAAGAACGGGGATGCGAAATGCTCAGGTCGGAAACTTGGGCCGGTAGGAGGGTCTCCGTGCGTCACTCACTGTACGAGTAGCACCGAAACACTTATGAGATCTTCCTTTCCTCTCCCTGCCTCCCTTCTCCTCCCTCACCATTTATACATTCCTTGTGTCTCGCAGCCACAATTACTTCCGCTGGCGGATTCTTTTTCTTTTTTCTTTTGGATCATTCCTCTTCTTCTCTTTGTTTTTTTTCTTCCCCTACCCATCTTCTCCCTTTTTTTCGTCATTTCGTCTCATACCGCGCCGGACGCCTTTTCTTTCTTGTCGTCGTCTCTTTGTCATTGACACGGCCTTTTTTTCCCCCAGTGTTTTATTTCCATTCTTTGGGTGAACGATTTTTTAACACCCCTGTCAACGATATTCTACTGCAAACAGTCCGTTCTTTCTGTTTAAGACCCGCCGCTATGGATGCTGGCATTTCTGCGGTCAAGGTCGTGGCCCGTGAAGGAGGTGGTGATGATGCCGCTGCCGCTGCTGCTGCACAGTTCGCCGCTCTCGAGAACGAAAGGCTTTCCAACTACCTCTACATTTGCCTGGGCTCCGTTGCCGTGGCTGTCATCACCTGGAAGATCTTTGATGTCGCCACCAAATGGACCCGAGCCATCGTCTGCATGAACAATGAATACCAACGCTACTTTGCCCGCCCTTCACCGAAGCTTGCCGCCTTGAAGCAGCACGTTCTGTACGCCTCAATCTGGAAGAAGAGACACAACCGCGAATTTCAGCTCAGCTCAGCCATCAACGTCGGCACCCTGCCCACTCGCTTTCAGTTGCTATTCACCCTCGCCTACCTCGCCACCAATGTCACGTTTTGTGTCATCCACATCGACTTCAGCGCCCAGTTCGGAGATGTTGCCGACATTCTGAGGAACCGCACCGGCGTTCTGGCCGTCGTCAACATGGTGCCTCTTGTTCTTTTTGCCGGGAGGAACAATCCACTTATCCCCCTCTTAGGCATCTCCTTTGACACTTATAACCTGCTCCACCGCCTGTTCGGCCGCATCGTCGTTCTTGAGGCTCTCACTCACGTTCTTGCCTTCCTTGCTGGAACAGGATGGGACGCCGCCTTTGCTGCCATCTTCCAGAGCATGTTCCTCCTCTGGGGCTTTGTTGTAGGTGCCTCTTTGTATACATCTGTGTCAAAACAAGCTAATACTATTTTACTAGGGAGTCGTGGCCATGGTCTTTCTCAGCATTCAAGCTTGGAGCCCGATCCGTCATGCCTACTACGAGGTTTTCAAAGTTCTCCACATAGTCGGTGCCATCGTGGCCATCATCGGTGTTTGGTACCACTTGGAGATGGTACAGCTGCCCCAGCTAAAGTACATCTACGGTGTTGTTGCTCTCTGGGCTGGAGACAGGGCCGCCCGTCTCTTCCGTCTCGCCTACAACAACTTTGGAAACTCTGGAACGAGGACAATTGTTGAGGCCCTCCCAGGTGACTCGGTCCGTGTCAGCATCACCCTCGCTCGCCCCTGGCGTTTCCAAGCCGGTCAACACGCCTACCTTTACATGCCCAGTATCAGCCTCTGGCAGTCGCACCCCTTCTCTGTCGCCTGGGCCGATGGGACTGATGACCTGGCTTCCGACAAGCTCGCCAGCACCATCCAAGAGAGACGAGCCATGCAGAAGATGCAGGTTTCCTTCGTCATCCGAGGCAGGACCGGATTCACCAACGCCCTTTACAAGAAGGCCGCCGCAACATCCACCGGAAAGCTCGAGACCAAGTGCTGGGTCGAGGGCCCGTACGGCGCCAAGCACCCTCTTGATTCGTACGGAACCGTTGTTCTCTTCGCCGGCGGTGTCGGTGTCACCCACCAGGTCCCCTACGTCAAGGAGCTCGTCGCTGGTTTTGCCGATGGAACTGTCGCCACGCGCAGGCTTCTCTTGGTGTGGACTATTCAGAGTCCTGAGCACCTTGAGTGGATCCGCCCGTGGATGACTGAGATTCTCAGCATGGACAGACGCAGGGACGTTCTCCGCATCATGCTCTTCGTGAGCCAGCCCCGTTCCAGCAAGGAGATTCACAGCCCCTCATCAACGGTTCAGATGTTCCCCGGAAGGCCCAACATCAGCACGCTTCTGTCTATGGAGCAGGAGCAGCAGGTTGGTGCTATGGCCGTTTCCGTCTGTGGACCCGGTGCGCTGAGTGATGAGGTGCGGAGGGTCGTCAGGCAACGACAAAGCCGCACCTCTGTGGATTTCATTGAGGAGGCGTTCTCGTGGTAAATTCGTTCATTTACGCTATAACTTTTGTTCTCACTTTTTACATCTTTCACTTCTTCTACTAGGTGTCGAGGCCAGATGAGTCCGCACTGGAGGTTTGGGCTACAACTGTCATTACATACTACTTCTTTGAGTTTATACTTATTTTGAGCCATGTCTCTCGTTTTGCGCATATCAACGAGTCTCAATGAATGAACTGAGCTTGACTTCGCAGGTTTCCAACATGAATAAAGGGTCAGCGTGACATGCAATTTACACCGTTTTAAAATATAATAAAAATAGAACCAAAGGAAAGAAGTCAAACTATATGTGTCTAACTGCAGTCTTGAACTGACATGTAAAACACTCAAGCCAGGGCTTAGACCAGACTCTCGACCTCGAAGAAGCATCCCTGGTAACGACGGTACAGAGTACGTCGACTTGGTGGTCTGGCAGAGACGCACGCAGGTGTGGAGCCGCACTAAACACGGGGTTAGGCTGGGTAACTCCCCATATGCACTTATCGGGTTATCAGTCGCCATCCATCAGGGTACCTACGTAACCTGGAGTTCCACTAACGTCACCTTATCATACTCTTAGGTCGCATGACTCAAAGCTAAAGTATCTATTGACAACCAATTCGGTGCAGCCCCGAAACACCACCCAAACTTTTGTTCCTTCATTGACTGTCAGAGGTTTCCCACACACGCATACACACAAAGAAGACTTGGAGGGAGGTAAAGAAGACTATAAAAAAATCATATACTTGTTTTATGAAACCTCTTGTTGGTGACGACAACAAGCTTATTCGGCACGCCATTCCATCCCATACATACCGACCTTTTCTGGCCGTCGTCGTCCCACTACCCCCATCGTTTCATCGAACGAAAGCAAGCGAGCCATCATGGCATCAAGGAATACGGTGCCCTTGCTCGTGGGCATGATGCTCCTGACGGGCGTCTGCAACACCCTCTTGACCAAGTACCAGGTAAAGACAGCTCTAGGAGACCTATCTCAGCAAGGCGGGCAGTACTGACAGGTGCGGGGACCTGTAGGACAAGCAATGTGTCCGCAATTGCGACGATCCCGATGTAACAAAGCACAGGTTCTTTGAGCAGCCGACGCTGCAGACAGCGCAGATGTTCGTAGGAGAGATGGGCAGCTGGCTGGTAATAGGCCTGATGGCCCTCCACAGGCAGTTTGTGGCCAAGTCGTCGCCGTCTGCACAAGGGTACGAGGCTGTCGGGGCCAACGATGGCGAGGAGCAGCAGCCGACAAGGGCGGACTCGCTAAGAGGCCTCCGGGTCTTCATGCTAGCCCTGCCGGCCATTTGTGACATCTTGGCCACCACACTCATGAATGTCGGCCTGCTCCTGGTGGCGGCCTCCATCTATCAGATGACTCGGGGTGCTCTAGTTTTGTTCGTCGGCCTATTCAGCGTCATCTTCCTTCGCCGCCACCTCAAGCTGTTCCAGTGGCTGGCTCTCTTGGGCGTCGTCGCTGGTGTTGCCGTCGTGGGTCTCGCCGGCGCCATCTGGCCCGACGAGAAGGCATCTGCCGCCGCAGCTGGCGGAGACGGCGATGGGGAGGCTTTGACCGAGGTTTCTGCCGCCATCATCGGCGTCCTGCTCATTGCGGGTGCCCAGATCTTCACGGCCACACAGTTCGTCCTAGAGGAGTGGCTCCTTGAGAACTCACCCATCCAGCCCATCCAGGTTGTCGGTTGGGAAGGTCTCTTTGGCTTCCTTATCACCGTCTTTATCATGATTGTCATGCACTTGACCGTCGGCCGCACTGAGTCTGGGAAGAACGGCTACTTTGATATGACTGAGGGCTGGAGGCAGATGACATCCAACAAGGCAATCGGTCTTACAAGCATTCTCATCATGATTAGCATTGGGTAAGCATTGCTTTTCTTTGGTCTCCCTGCATACTATTTAGAGGGGCATTATTGCTCCGTTTCTTCCCTTTTTTTCCAATAAGAGAATGCTGCTAACATATCTAAAGCGGCTTTAACTACTTTGGACTGGCCGTCACGAGAAGTGTCAGTGCCACCGCGAGGTCCACCATTGATACTTGCAGGACCCTCTTCATCTGGATGGTGTCCCTTAGCCTGGGCTGGGAATCGTTCAAGTGGCTTCAGATTGTCGGCTTTGGCCTCCTAGTCTATTCAACCTTCCTCTTCAACGGCATTGTACAGCCACCCTTCAAATGCCTACACACCGATGAGGAGGTGGAAGGGCTACTACCTGAGGAACCGATTGAGCACCAGTAGTATCATATTTTTCCGCTATATTGTGACGGTTGGGTTCAACTCTGAGCTATAGGGTAGACAGATATGAGTTGTCGTTTTATGTAACGAGATAGTTAGGATGTCGTACTGAGCAATAAGGCAGTCACAGTCGTAGGTGCTAATTGTGGAAGGAACTAGGGTTCTAATAGAAGCGTTAACTATATTATTAATAGCTAGGTAAAGAGTGACTAGGCTATAGAAATGAGGTTAACTATATACTAGGTGATCGCCGAGGTTCTTAAGGCGATTATGATAATCGTTGCTTGGAAATATACGATCGCGGTGTTGTGTATAAGTGGCCGTAGGGATAATAAGTAAGAAAAATGTGGGGTACACGTAGAGGTCGCATTAACGGGCCGTAATACGATGCCCCTCTTCTAAGGATCTTATCTTAAGATTATATATAAGCGTTCTTATCCTATTTATTAGTTATTCTATAAGTTTCTTCCTTTATCCCTTCCTTTACTATATCTAGCTATATTGCTAAACGTTCTTAAAAATCGTCTATAGACGCTAAAACTCGAAAAGTTCGTCTCCTTAAGGCAATACTTAAAAGTCCTAAGTTAGATTCCTCGCGTTATATAGTGTATTCGTCTAAACCGGGCATCCTATAACGTTTCTAGTCTATCTTTTAGTTATGACGGTTGGTACGACTCTGTGCTATAGGGTAGTTAGAGAAGTGTCGGTTTTTATATTAGCGAGGCCGTTAGGGCGTCTAACTAAGCAATAAGGCAGTTATAGTTATAGGTACTAATTATAGAAGGAACTAGGGTTCTAAAAGAAGTATTAACTATTATATCAATAGCTAGGTAAAGAGTAACTAGGCTATAGAAATAAGGTTAACTATATACTAGGCGATCGCTAGGATTCGTGAGGCGATTATAGTAATCGTTCTAGTAATCGCTACGATCCTAGGAGCGATCGTAATAATCGTTGCTTAGAACTATATAATCGTATATAGGTAGGTGTAACGGTAATAAGTAAGGAAAAGAAAATATAGGGTGTACGTAAAGGTCGTATAACGGGCTGTAATACGATACCCCTCTCCCTAGGATCTTATCTTAAGATTATATATAAGCGTTCCTATCCTACCTATTAGTTATTCTATAAGTTCCTTCCTTTATCCTTCTATTTTACTATATCTAGCCGTATTGCTAAACGTTCTTAAAAATCGTCTATAGACGCTAGAAATCGAAAAGTTCGTCTCCTCGAGACGTGTTACTATTACGGCCCGTTATGCGACCTTCACGTGTACCCTATAATTTCCTTACTCATCACCGCATTCCCTACTTATATATAATAAAAGCGATTACCTTAATTACCTAGCGATCGTAATGATCGCTCCCTACGATTATTACATCCCCTTAGCGATCGCCTAGTATATAGTTAACCTTATTTCTATAGCCTAGTCACTCTTTACCTAGCTATTAATATAATAGTTAACGCTTCTTTTAGAACTCTAGTTCCTTCTATAATTAGCACCTACGACTATAACTGCCTTATTGCTTAGTTAGACGCCCTAACGGCCTCGCTAATATAAAACCGACACTTCTCTAACTACCCTATAGTATAGAGTCGTACTAACCGTTATATATTAATAGCTCTTATTTAGACCGTTACTATATTAAACACTAAGTAATATCTAACACTATATCTTCCGCTATACCTACGTCCTCTAATGTTAGAAATAATAATAATAATACCTAAAAGGATCTAGGCGAAACCCTTAAGCTTAAGAGCCCTAGACCTTTTAACGGTACTAAAGGAGAACTCTAGGGATTTATTACGCAACTTAAAACCTATTATAGGTTCTTTCCTAATAAACTTAGGTTTGCCTATAATAAGGTCCTATATATAAGAACTTGCCTAGAAGGACTAGCACTCTTATAGTTTAAACTAATTCTACGAGACTTCCTTAAGAAGGCTAGCGATAGTCGAGATAATAAAATTAAGACTATCTTCGCTACCTTTAAGGGATTTAAGGAAGCTCTTAAGGACGCTTTCGGCAATATAGACGTTACTAGGGACGCTATATAGAAGATATAGTCTCTTAAATAACGAGGATCTACCGCCGACTACGCCGCTATTTTTCGATAGATCGCTCTTAAGACTAAGTAGGATAACGAACCCCTTATAAGTATCTTTTATTAAGGACTTAAGGAAGAAGTTAAGGACGAACTCTATAAGGAAAATACTCCTAATAGCCTCTCTAAGTATATCGCTATAGCTATTAGGATCGATACTCGTTAGTATAAATGACGAAAGGAAAGATAAAATAAGAATCGCAATTAGGGACTAGTCTATATTAATTAAGGAAACCGCTATAATAACTAAGCTAACTAAGGGAGACTACGACGCTACGCGAGTACCTCTTAAAGCGGAATAACCTATACTAGACCTATAGAACTAGATATAATATAAGATAAGTTAAAGGAGACTTATTATAACTATAGTAGAAAGGGATACTACGCCCGAGAGTGTTAATAGAAGAAAAGGGAATAGAAACCTATATAGGAAGGGAAACACCTTAATACCCTTACTAACTAAGCACGAAGTAGCGATAATACTATTACTAAAAGATATAAACTCCTCTTATAGATAGTATACTATAATAATAGCTATAAGATCTATATAAGCGATAAAGATAGAAGTAGATAGTATATATAAAAGCTAAGAGGGAGGCGATCCCTTATTATAATAGAAAGACGACCTATTTAATATAAAAACGCTACCTTAAATAAAGTAACTATTAAGGACGAACCTTAAGAATAGTCTATATTTAAAGAATTTACTAACTATTCTATTTCTAACTCGATAGGAATAAGTAAGGCTAAATAGTTCGAATAGGATATTAATAACCTAATAGATAAAATCGAACTATTAGTTAAGGCTAGTAAAAGAAGAATAGGTAACTAGATCTTATAACGAGTAAACGAACTCTATAAACATTATATCTATAATAATAAAAGCACGACGGAAAGCCGAGTATTATATAAGATTAGTAAGATTTTCTAGACTACCGACCCCTATACCCTTAAAGGAATAAGAACCTAGAGATAGGTTAAGATAAAATAATAATATATAAGGGATCGATGCCTACTAAACCGCATTTAAGAAGTTAAAAACTCCCTAATAGAGGGACTAGGAGTTATTAATAACGATAGAGCACCTACTTACGTTCGAAATAGATAGATTAATCGACGAATAAACTCGATTTATAAATACTATATCGAGAAGGATAGACTACAAGACTATATTATCTAAGAATAACTTATCTAAGCCTTCTAATAAACGAACCCCTATACCCTCCTAGGTAATAGAAGAAGTAAGTAGAATAGGCTATAACTCTACTATAATAAAGATATATACCTACGAAATAATAATAATCTTATTAGACAATGCGAAGAAATCTATATAGATAACTACTAAGGGTGCTAGTACTATAAGGAAGAGAAAGAATTCGACTAGCGAATAATATAAATAAAGTAAGAAAGTACTAACATTACTATATAAACCGATAACGAAAACTATAATAGTATCTAGGAAAACGATAAACGTTATCTATAATAGGGCTATAGTATGACTAGGAATACCTAAAGACCCTAGGCGCCGACTAGGCAATTAGAGACCTAAAGATAGTATTAGAAGTCTAGATCTAGGGATATCGCATACGAGTACTATTAGATAGTGGTGCGATAGGTAACTATATTTCCCTAGCGATAGTTAACCGATATTAGCTACTATAGAATTAGAAAATCGAACTATATAACCTTATTGCTTAGTACGACATCCTAACTATCTCGTTATATAAAACGATAACTTATCTCTACCTACCCTATAGCTTAGAGTTAAACCTAACCGTTATATATTAATAGCTCTTATTTAGACTATTACTATATTAAATACTAAGCAATACCTAACACTATATCTTCTACTATACCTACGTCCTCTAATATTAGGAATAATAATAATAATATCTAGAGGGATCTAGGTAAAACCCTTAAGCTTAGGAGCCCTAAACCTTTTAACGGTACTAGAGGAGAACTCTAAGGATTTATTATATAACTTAAGACCTACTATAAGTTCTTTCTTAATAAACTTAGGTTAGCCTATAATAAAGTCCTATATATAGGAACTTGCCTAGAAGGACTAGCACTCTTATAGTTTAAACTAATTCTATAAGATTTCCTTAAGAAGACTAGCGATAATTAAGATAATAAAACTAAAACTATCTTCGCTACCTTTAAGGGATTTAAAGAAGCTTTTAAGGACGCTTTTAGTAATATAGACATTACTAAGGACGCTATATAGAAGATATAGTCTCTTAAGTAGTAAGGATTTACCGCTAACTACGCCGCTATCTTTTAGTAGATCGCTCTTAAGACTAAATAAGATAACGAACCCCTTATAAGTATCTTTTATTAAGGACTTAAAGAGGAAATTAAAGATAAACTCTATAAAGAGAATACTCTTAATAGCCTCTCTAAATATATCGCTATAGCTATTAGGATCGATACTTATTAGTATAAATAATAGAAGGAACGCTAGAATAAGAATCGTAATTAAGGACTAGTCTATATTAATTAAAGAAACTACTATAATAACTACGCTAATTAAGGGAGACTATAACGCTACGTGAGTACCTCTTAAAGTAGAATAACCTATACTAGACCTATAGAACTAGATATAATATAAGATAAGTTAAAGGAGACTTATTATAACTATAGTAGAAAGGGATACTACGCCTAAGAGTGTTAATAGAAGAAAAGGGAATAGAAACCTATATAGGAAGGGAAATACCTTAATACCCTTACTAACTAAGCACGAAGTAGCGATAATACTATTACTAAAAGATATAAACTCCTCTTATAGATAGTATACTATAATAATAGCTATAAGATCTATATAAGCGATAAAGATAGAAGTAGATAGTATATATAAAAGCTAAGAGGGAGGCGATCCCTTATTATAATAGAAAGACG